GGGGGGGATTTTATAGGGATTTTAAAGGGATTTTATAATTTTTCTAATACAGGTTAATTAATATATATTTTAATTTGGCTTTTAAATATTTATTGTATAGCTCTGTTTTTATTTACCTGTAAGCCGCCCTGAGTCCCTCGGGAGAAGGGCGGGGTATAAATTAAAGTAATAAATAATAAATAAATAAATAACTTTAAAAGTTCAAGCTGCAGATTGTTAGTTCATCTTTTCATTTGTCAAATCCCTTTGTATCAACATAAATACAAAACTAGAACAGTAGCATTTGTTGCTTCTAATCAAGACATTCTATTTTTACAACAAACATTCGTAAAAACCTGCAGTACCGAAGCTAATTTATTTGGTTTCAGCATTGTGTATAGGCATCCTGAATCGTGTTTTGGAAAAAGGCAATGGTGATCCTTATGATTGTCAAAAACCCTACATCAGTGGTTCTCAACCTTTTTAATGCCGCGACCCCAACCGGTCGTAAGTCGAGGACTAAACCGGTCGTACGTCGAGGACTAAACCGGTCGTAAGTCAAGGACTAAACCGGTCGTAAGTTGAGGACTACCCAACCGGTCGTAAGTCAAGGACTTTCCCTGCCCAGGAGCGCCGTGCATGCGTGGTTCCGCCCCCTGCGCCGGCTGAGGCGTTAGCTGGCAAGCGGCAGAGACGGAGCAGGCCGACCACCAGCTGGCCCAGCCCAAGGGAGGTAAGGCACCCGCCGGAAAAGGGGAAAAATGGTGGACAAAAAAAATGGTGGACAAAAAAAATGACTGACAGCCTTGCTTGGCGACCCCCGTGAAATGGTCGATCGAGCCCAAATGGGGTCCCAACCCACAGGTTGAGAACCACTGCCCTACATGGACATATCTATGAAATCATCAGGAATTGAGCTCAACTGGAAGAAGACTTTGCTTTTTCTAACAGCTATTAAATATTTGCTTTATTGCCCAGCTCATGAACAGTTTCTTATCTCTAGCTCTGATCTGATAACAACACTGCAAAACCTCTTAATATGGTAAGATGTGCTAAATACTATGGTGAAATCATTTTGTGCATGTTCTGATGTCAATCCATAGCTAAAGACAACGTTAAATGCAGAAAATAGTTATCTGTAGAGAGAGCTAGGAAGATCACCATGAAGATCACAACCAGATGGATTTGTAACTGGCTGACAAATTTGTAACTGGCTGATATACTCAATGAGTAGTTCTTAATGTACTACATCTACATGCAGGGAAGTAAGCAGTGAGGTACCAAAAGGTTCTGTCTTAGGCCCAGTACTCTTCAATATCTTCATAAATGACTTAGATGAGGAAAAAGAAGGGGAACGCATCAAATTTGCAGATGACACTAAATTAGTAGGAATAGCCAACACCTTAGAAATCCAGTTCTGGATTCAAAAAGATCTTGACAGAATTGAACAATGGGCCCTGTCTAACAAAATAAATTTTAATGTGGAGAAAAGCAATGTTTTACACGTAGGCAGGAAAAACCATAGGTACAAATACAGATTAGGCGAAACCCGACTCAAAAACAGTAACAGTGAGAGAGACTTTGGAATCCTAGTGGACAATCAATTAAATATGAGCCAGCAGTATGCAGCAGGAGCCAAAAAAGGCAATACAATTCTTGGTTGTATAAACAAAGGCATGGAATCAAAATCACATGAAATATTAGTACCGCTTTATAAATCCTTAGTAAGACCACACCAGGAGTACTGCATCCAGTTTTGGTTACCACATTACAAAAAGGATGTTGAAACTTTGGAAAAAAGAAGAGCAACTAAAATGATTAAAGGCCTGGAGACTAAAACATATGAAGAACAGTTGCAGGAATTGGGTATAGCTAATGTAGAGAAAAGGAAGGACTAGGGGTGACATGATAAGAGTATTCCAGTATTTGAGGAGCTGCCACAAAGAGGGGGCCAACTTATTTTCCAAAGCACCAGAAGGCAAGACAAGAAACAATGGGTGGAAACTAATCAAGGAGAGAAGCAACCTGGAATTAAGGAGAAACTTCCTAACAGTGAGAACAATTAACCAGTAGAACAGCTTGCCTTCAGAAGTTGTGGGGGCTTCATCACTGGAGGTTTTTAAGAAGAAACTGGACAATCACTTGTGTGAAATTGTATAAGGTCTCCAGTTTGAGCAGAGGGTTGGGCCTAGAAGACCTCCAGCTCTATTCTAATTGATTGATCAGAGACCAGGTGGGCCAGTTGCATACACAATGCTGGGGTATTGGAAATAATTAGTCAACTGGAGGAGGGAGATTGAATGAACCAGGAAGTTTACGTCTGCACAGCCCATGAGAAGAGGATGCAGGATGGGTAACATGCATCAGTTTTGATCTTGTTCTGCAAAATTTATTCCAGGATTCAACTAAACAATCTTAACTTTTGTTTCTGCCAAACTGCAGCCTAATCTGAAATGGCTTGGAAAATCATCCAAATGAATGATAATTTGTTTTAGATTTTTTTTAAAAAAAGATTCTATTTTCTGTTTGTGCCTCCCTGCTGAGTGTACATAATAAAGCATCTTCTGCAAAAGTCTCATGAACAATTACAAAATACTGTACATGAAAACAAGCCAAAGTACCCAGAGATTAAAATAAGGCCATTTGCGGCGCTCTTAATGATTATGTATTGTTACTAATTAAAGACATTCGCCTTATACTGTTCTCATGTATTGCAAAGAAAAAGAAGCTTGTTAGAAAGTCAGCATGGTATTTTTCTCCCAGAACAAAGGCAGTAAAACTGAGATTCTGGAACAGATTTAGATTTCAGTGAGAACAAAAGAACAGGTCATCCTATTCTTCACGCTGGTACACAATTATTACATAGTATTGTACAAATACATTAACAGCTGTTTGCTCCCAAACAATTTTAAATTCATAAAGAATTATTGTTAATTGCTCATGAAGTTTTACTGGAATTACTTGCATTACTTGTTTTACATTTGAAATGGATTTTTGATTTAATATTGCTAAGCATGTGTTTATGATCTATGCAAAAATGGGAGAAAATGTTTTGTGTTAAAAAGAGTAGGGGGCACTATCTCAGTCTCTGCAAAATGACAGTAAGAAACTCTGAATAAAAAGAATTTGGAAAACTGGAATCTCTTGTTTGTGAGGAAAATGCATATAATTTACAATAAGAATGTAACCGAGGAACTAGTCCAGAGAAGATTCTTGGCCCCATTTATAAGAGCTGATTGTCCCAGTGTAGTAGTAGTAGTAGTAGTAGTAGTAGTAGTAGTAGTAGTAGTAGTAGTAGTAGTAGTAGTAGTAGTAGTAGTAGTATTATTATTATTATTAAAATTTATATACCACCCAATCTCCCTTACGGGACTCAAGGCGGTGAACAGGCAATAATAAAAATCACAGTAAATATTACATAAAAGCCTGCTCTAAAATATAAAACCCCTAACAAAACCCAATCAAAACTACGCCAGGCCAGCCGCATGGAACAGATGAGTTTTCAGGGCTTGGCGGAAGAGGCGCAGGTCCGCAATTGTACGTAGGTCAGGGGGGCAGGTCATTCCAGAGGGCAGGAGCTGCCACAGAGAAGGCTCTCCCCCTGGGGGTCACCAGTCGGCATTGTCTTGCCGACAGTACCCTAAGGAGGCCCTCTCTGTGGGAGCGGACTGGTCGAAGGGAGATATTTGGTAGGAGGCGGTCTTGCAAATACCTAGATCCATTGCCATGGAGCGCTTTAAAAGTTGTTACTAACACCTTGAAGCGCACCTGGAAGGCCACCGGCAGCCAGTGCAGCTCACGCAGGAGAGGTGTTACATGGGAGTATCTAGAGGCCCCCAGGATCTCCCGCGCGGCCGCATTCTGAACTAACTGGAGCCTCCAGGTGCACAAGAGGAGCCCCATGTAGAGAGCATTGCA